AACAAGAGCATAGCGTGTGCAAAATAAAAAGAACAAGGGCCTAGCGTTTGCAAAATAAAAAGAACAAGGGCCTAGCGTGTGCAAAATTGCAAGAACAAGGGCCTAGCGTGTGCAAAAATGCAAGAACAAGGGCCTAGCGAGTGCAAAATAGCAAGAGCAAGGGCCTAGCGTGTGCAAAAAATCAAGAACAAGTGCCTAGCGTTTGCGAAATTGCAAGAACAAGGGCCTAGCGTGTGCAAAATAAAAAGAACAAGGGCATAGCGTGTGCAAAATAGCAAGAACAAGGGCCAAGCGTGTGCAAACTAAAAAGAACAAGGGCCTAGCGTGTGCAAAATAGCAAGAACAAGGGCCTAGCGTGTGCAAAATTGCAAGAACAAGGGCCTAGCGTGTGCAAAATTGCAAGAACAAGGGCCTAGCGAGTGCAAAATAGCAAGAGCAAGGGCATAGTGTGTGCGAAAAATCAAGAACAAAGGCCTAGCGTTCGCGAAATAGCAAGAACAAGGGCCTAACATGTGCAAAATAAAAAGAACAAGGGTCTAGCATGTGCAAAATTGCAAGAACAAGGGCCTAGAGTGTGCAAAATAAAAAGAACAAGGGCATAGCGTGTGCAAAATAGCAAGAACAAGGGCCTAGCATGTGCAAAATACAAGAACAAGGGCCTAGCGTGTGCAAAATAAAAAGAACAAGGACCTAGCGTGTGCAAAATTGCAAGAACAAGGGCCTAGCGTGTGCAAAATTGCAAGAACAAGAGCCTAGCGAGTGCAAAATAGCAAGACCAAGGGCCTAGCGTATGCAAAAAATCAAGAACAAGGGCCTTGTGTTCGCGAAATAGGAAGAACAAGGGCCTAGCGTGTGCAAAATAGCAAGAACAAGGGCCTAGCGTGTGCAAAATTGCAAGAACAAGGGCCTAGCGTGTGCAAAATTGCAAGAACAAGGGCCTAACGAGTGCAAAATAGCAAGAGCAAGGGCCTAGCATTCGCGAAATAGCAAGAACAAGGGCCTAGCGTGTGCAAAATAAAAAGAACAAGGGTCTAGCATGTGCAAAATTGCAAGAACAAGGGCCTAGCGTGTGCAAAATAAAAAGAACAAGGGCATGGCGTGTGCAAAATAAAAAGAACAAGGGCCTAGCGTGTGCAAAATAGAAAGAACAAGAGCCTAGCGTGTGCAAACTTGCAAGAACAAAGGCCTAGCGTGTGCAAAATTGCAAGAACAAGGGCCTAGCGAGTGCAAAATAGCAACAGCAAGGGCCTAGCATGTGCAAAAAATCAAGAACAAGGGCCTAGCGTGTGAAACAAGGAAAACAGGAATGAAATGACTATGGAAGATTGGGTACAAATACAACCCTAGAGACCCTGTACCCCATATGTGCTACCCCACTATAGCCTACAGAAACTATGTCATATAAATCTGACACACCCCCATAGGCAAAGTGGGGGAGAACAAGGGGTCACAAGACCAGTCAGGTAAAGCAAAGCAGAGCAAGCTCAGGGTGGATCACAACGTCACCACACAGTCCGAGCACAAGAGCAGGGCCAGAGGCCAGTTCACATGCAGGAGTACAGACATATATATATATAGAACTAGACAAGCAAGAGCAGGTATAAATATATGTAACAGTACAAGTGAAGTCAAGAGGAGAGCAAGTGAGGCAAGACAGGCACAAGACCCAGCTGGGTGCAAAAGCGCTGATGGTCACAAGGCGTGAGTGCCTTGGTGAACACATCAGCAGTGTTGGCCTCAGAGGCCACGTACGCAAGTCGCAACTGACCACGCTGCTGCAGCTCACGAGCAAGGAAGTAGCGGAGAGCAATGTGCTTCGTTCTGTGCTCCAAGCGCTGCTCTCGACACAAGGCCAGCATGGCCTTGTTGTCTACGTACAGCACTGGAGGAGAACGAGGCGGCTCTCCAAGGTCAGTCAGCAGGTAGGTGAGCCAGCGAAGCTCCTGTGCAGCCATGGCCCCGGCGTAGATCTCAGCCTCACAACTGGAGCCGAGAACCGAAGACGAGCGAGTAGACCGCCACGAGACAGACCGGAACCAAGGCTGAAGGTGTAACCCTGTGACGACCGCTGCGTAGCCTGGTCGTCAGCCCAAGAAGCGTCCGCGTGGCCGGTAAGGACCACTGGACTCCGCCCTCCAAGCACTAGCCCCATGCCCGATGTGCTGCACAGGTAGCGCAATACCCTCTTCGCTGCAGCCATGTGCTCTGGTCTGTGTCTCCCAGGAGCAACATAGCGAGCAAGAATGCTCAGAGGGTATGCAAGGTCAGGTCGTGTGCAGGTCATCAGGTACATGAGGCAGCCAACAAGCTCTGCATACGGGCCACTCGACTCTACGGACTCATCCGAAGGCAGAGCTGAGAGTGAGTGGCGAGTAGGCAGAGGAGTGGCCTGAGGCGAGGAGTACGTGAAGCCGAAGCGCTGAAGGACCTGCTGCACCATGTGTGACTGAGTCAAGGTAATGGTGCGGCGTGCTCTGTCCCGAGTGATCTGCAAGCCAAGGTAGCTGCGCAGTTCACCCAGGGCTGTGCACGTGTGTCTCTTCAGCAGCTCGGACTTCACGTAGGCGAGTCCAGCAGTGTCCGCTGTGGCAAAGACCAAGTCGTCGACGTACACGAGGATGTAGAACGGCGGCAGGGAAGTGTCGGTGCGAAGAAACAGCGACGGGTCAGCAGTAGAAGGAGCAAACCCAAGAGCCGCAAGCGTAGTCCTCAGTGTGTCGTGCCACTCACGCGGTGCCTGACGGAGACCGTAGACTGGCCGTCGGAGGCTCCACTGGGTGCCAGGAGGGAAAGTCCCAGTGAAGCCAGGTGGACGGCGAAGCCAGATCTCCTCGTGAAGGCTACCCTGCAAGAACGCAGTGCTGAAGTCGAGAGAGTGAAGCTCGTAGTCGCGCTGAGCGGCTATGTGTAGCAGCACCCGAAGAGTAGTCATCTTCGGGGTGGGAGAGAAGGTCTGAAAGTAGTCAACTCCCTGCCGCTGACTGAAGCCACGAGCAACGTACCGTGCCTTGAAGACAGGTGGAGAGCCCGGCGGCCGCTTCACCCTGAAGATCCACATGCCACTGACGATGTTTGCCCCAGGAGGGGGAACCACGTCAACGTAGGTGCCTGTGGACTTCCAGGAAGCCATCTCTGCATCCATAGCTGCCTGCCACTGAGAGGAGTAGGGACCCTCTACGGCCTCCGCGTAAGAACGCGGAGTCGGGATGTCTAGTGCATCCGGGTCTCCCTCAGGGGCAAGCAGTACAGACGCGAGATGAGGTGAAGCAGCCGCTAGACACTGTAACTCCTCCTGCCTGTCCTCTAGGACGTCCGTGCCAAGAGCACACTCACCCCCGACGGACGGAGGACAGACAGACGCAGACTCAGCAACAAGACTAGCAGCGTAGTCGAGACGACAGCGAGCAGCAAAGTCGACGAGCTCAGCGACTAGAGCAGACGCAGCCGTGGACTCAAAAGAGGGGTCAGTGACGACAGTAGCAAGCAGACGCGTGACAGTAGGACTGGCAGCACGAAGAGAGTCCGACTCAGGGTCGGCAAGCGCAGGAAGAGAGGACTCAGGAGGAGAAGGCAAAAGGGGCACGCAGAGGAGCAGTGGACGGACGCAAAGACATCCGGTGCGTGCCAGGGACAGGAGGAGGACGCTGACGCGAACTGCGACCACTAGCGCGAGCAGCACGAACAGGCGACGCGGGACGAGACGCAGGCTCACGACGCTCAGCAAGACCTCCAGTAGGACCAGTGTAAGGACAGGGAGCAGGCAGTGGATAGGAAGGCTCCAGTAGGGACTGCGACTGGACAGGCGGTGGACCCTCTACTGGAGGAGAAAGACCAAGAACCTGCTGCAGGAGCGGAACGAAGTACGGCCGAGGCCGCGCGGCAGCTCCAGACTCAGCAGGGACAGCACCAGTACCCTCAGCGACAGCACCAGCGCCACCCACACCTCCAGCGGCAGGACCAACAGCAGTAGGCTCAGCACCAACGCCCTCAGCAGCTCCAGCTCCAGGAGGACCAGTAGGTCCAGCAGCTCCGGGACCGGCAGCACCCGCACCCTCGACGGTCGAAGAAGCTCCAGCTCCAGCTCCAGCAGCACCTCCAGACTCAGCAGCACGCCTCCAGCGGCGAGCGAACCACTCGCGCAGCTCCTGTGGAGAGAGGGGCTCCCGGCGAGACGCAGCAGCAGGAGAAACCCCAGGCTCAGCAGCTCCAGACGCAGCACCCCCAGGCTCAGCAGCTCTCAGCTCAGCACCCCCAGGCTCAGCAGCTCCCGACCCAGCACCCCCAGACCCAGCACCTCCAGGCACAGCACCCCCAGGCTCAGCACCCCCAGGCTCCGCACCCTCCGCAGTAGCACCCTCAGGCCCAGCACCCCCAGCAGTAGTACCCCCAGGCTCAGCACCCCCGCGCACAGCACCCCCAGAGTCAGCACCCCCAGGCTCAGCACCCGCAGCAGCACCAGAGTCACCAGTAACCTCGACCGGGTCAACGGCGTCTACCTGGGACACACCTGAGGGGGCAGGAACCTGAGGGGGGAGGGGGTCTACCGGGGGGGGAACCGGCACAAGGAAGTCCGGGGGAGGGGGGAGGGAAGGAGTGCGGTAGGGGAAGAGACGGTAGAAGGGGACTGACTCGTCGAACGTGACGTCCTGGGAGGACAGAACACGACGAGAGGAGGGGTGGTAAAATTGCCACCCTGGGGCGTCAGTGGGGAAGCCAAGGAAAACACAGGGAGCAGCACGAGGGGACAGCTTGTCCGCAGACAAGTCGCGGACAAACGCCCGAGATCCCCAGACACGGAACACAGACGCATCGCCAACCTTCCCCGTCCACAGCAAGGCTGGGGACATCGCAGGCCGAGAGACCCGGGGGTGAAGGTTGAGCTGATGCGCCGCGTACCTCACCGCAAACAGCCACAGAAAATGGGGGGCAGCCGCATGCATCATGGACGTACGAGCGACATCCATGACCATGCCAATGCGGCGCTCAGCAATCCCATTTTGCTATGGTGAGTCCGGAAGCGTGAAGGTCTGGCGGATCCCCCGTGCACGACAGTAGTCTCGCAGAAGGCGAGAAGAGAACTCTCCGCCTCTGTCAGAGTGCAGACGCAGAACAGGAAAGTCCGAGCCGAAGCTCTTCCTGAGCTGGAGACGAGCCTCGCGGATCCAGTCGATCAGCACCTCAGTGACCTCACCCTTGCTGCGCAAGGGGAGGACTGTGGTGTAACGCGAGTAGTCGTCAACCACCAACAGGAAGTAGCGCTCGTAACCCTGCCCACGGACGGGGGCTGGGCCCCACACATCCATGTGAAGCGTCTGCAGGGGAGCCTCTGTCGGGGGGAAGTGGGAGGCGTGAGGAGTAGCCCGGAGGCGACCCTCGACACAGGGGACACAGGAAGGTCCTGGCCCGGAGGGGAGAGGAGGGAGAGACTGGGGAAGACCAGAGACAAGGACACGGGAAGCCATGCTCCGAAGACGGGGCAAGGAGGGGTGGCCAAGACGGTGGTGCCACAGGAGAGTCTTGTGAGACAGGAGGCGACAAGAACAGGGGGCAGACTCAGGACCTGACCGGGACGCAGCAGCAAGTACCTGACCCGACGCAGCCACCTGACCAGACGCAGGGACAGGAGGAGACTCAACGGTCAGGGTGTAGAGACTCGACCCCGGCCGACGCGAGAACGTGGCCAGGTGTCGGCCTGTGCGTGCCTCCGTGCAGTGGGTCACCCGCTGACTCGTTGGAGTGAACTGGTGAACACCCCCATCCTGCAGGTCCGCTCCACTCACCAAGTTCGTGGAGAACGAGGGAAGGTACAGACCCGACAGGGTGCCCGAAGGGGCAGCCGGACACGGGAGGACAGTGGAGAAGTGAGACAGGATAGGACCTCCAGAGGGGTCAGCAAGGGAGACTGCAACCGGCCGGCCGAGCGGCGTAAGGGTAGTGCGGTCTCGAAAGAAGGAGTGAGAAGCTCCGGAGTCAAGTGTGAAAGTGAGGGAGGACGAGGACGACGCAGTACCTGAGAGCGCAGTCTCACCAGTACCTGAGAGCGCAGACGCACTGGCACCTAGAGCAGTAGCCTCACAAGCACCTAGCGCAGCAGTACCAATGCCCGGGTCGGGCTGGAAACAACGGTAACCCTCATTCTCCTCACTATAATCCACAACATACATAGCAGTAAGGATAGCATCAAAATCAAGATCAAAGATCGCTACACCAGCCCTGAGAAGCTCATCCCAGCGAGGGATCTCACTAGCCCCAGGGAACTGCTGACGCCAGGCGTCCGTCAGGCGGCCAAAGCAGCGCTGGGTGGCGTGGGCACCCCCACACTGCTCACCCGCGTGGTCGCCGGAACGAAGAACGTAGGTGCAGGGACCAGTACCCCCACCCCTCTGACGCCCAGCGTACCACTCACGAAGCTGCTGAGGCGAGGGGATGTCCCGCGAGCGCTGCTGCTGCTGCCGGTGCGAGCGCTGGCCACCACCACCGCCGCTACGCTGCTGGGTACCACCCCGACCAGCTCCACCTCCTCCACCACCACTGCCTCCTCCGCTGCCGCCTCCACCGCCTCCACCTCCGCCGCCTCCACCTCCGCCGCTGCCTCCACCACCACCGCTGGCACCACCACCACCGTCTCCGCCGCTGCTGCCACCACCACCACCACCACCCCCGCCACTAGTCCCGCCGCCACCCCCACTCCCTCCGCCGCCACCGCCGCCACCGCCACCGCCCCCTCCAGCTCCACCCGCGCCCTTGCCCCCCTTGCCCTTGCTGGAGCGACGTCTCCCACTAGGGGCAGACGCCGCGCCGACCGACTCAAGACCAAGCAGGTCGGCAGCAGCAGCAGAGGCAACAGAGGGCAGCAAGGGGGAAGGAGAGCACCCCTCAAAGATGGGGGTGCGAGGGTCACCACGAGAAGCACCTACAGCGACTATGCTCTTCTCCGCTGCAAGGAGGGCCTTCTCGAGGAGGTCGACGGTGAGGGTGGTGGGACAGACTGCGAGAAAGTGGTCCCTGACGACGCGAAGGGAGTCAGGGAGGCGCGCGACTACGTAGTAGAGAGCGATGTACATGGGGGGGGGGGTTCTTAGCGCAGAACTCGGCAGGAAGGGCGGCGCGGTAGCGAGTGTCACTAGTGCGGAGGTGCGTAATGAGGTCAGCGACAGTGGGAAAGGCAGAGAGGTCAGGAAAGAGGTAGGGAAGCATGAGACGGCTCAGTGCAGCAGTGGCAGGGGAGGAGTAGCGCGCAACTACAGCGTCGTACAAGGTCTGAGCACTCTTGTACTGACTAAAGTGCGCACGCTCAGAGGTAGGGAGGTGGCGACGCACAGCAAGACGTGCAGCAGCATCGCGGGTGGCCCACTTAGAGCGGACAGCGGGATCAGCATCAGCAGCAGGAGCAGGAGAGGCGCCAGAGGTGAGATCAAAGAGAGAAAGGTCGTCAGCCCTGTCGCACTGTAAGAACAGCTGCAGGTCGTCTAACCAGACCTCAAAATCAATGGCGCGACCCTCAGCGTCAAAAGCTAGGACACTAGGGGTAGCCATGGCGACGACAGCGACGCAGTGCAAGCAGCAGGGAAAGAGCTCGCAGTGGCAGTGGGACTGTGCTCACCAGGCAGGGCAGGTCGAGTAGGTATGCAGAAAGGCGGCTCAGCGACCTGGCGGCTCAGGTGCTGGGCGGCTCGGGCGCAGGGCGGCTCGGCTCCCAGGCGGCTCGGCTCCCGGGCGGCTCGGCGGCTGGGCGGCTCGGGTGCAGGGCGGCTCGGCTCCCGGGCGGCTCGGCGGCAGGGCGGCTCGGGGCCCGGGCGGCTCGGCGTCGGGCGGCTCGGCTCACGGGCGGTTCGGCTGGGAGATCCAGGGGCGGGGCCGTCAGGTGCAGCAGCGGGTTGACCGGTGCAGTGGCGGGCCGGCAGGTGCAGCGGCGGGCCGGAAGGTGCAGCGGCGGGCCGGCAGGTGCAGTGGCGGGCCGGCAGGTGCAGGCGGCGGGCCGTAGGGTGCAGTGGCGGGCCGGCAGGTGCAGCGGCGAGGCCGTCAGAGGCGGCGGGCCGGCAGGTGCAGCGGCGAGGCCGTCAGAGGCGGTGGGCCGCTGGGTGCAGCGGCGGGCCGGCAGGTGCAGTGGCGGGCCGGCAGGAGCAGCGGCGGGCCGGCAGGGGAGGCGGCGGAGCCGAGTCAGGGGAGGCGGCAGGGCCGCGTCAGGGGAGGCGGCGGAGCCGCGTCAGGGGAGGCGGCGGTGCCGCGTCAGGGGAGGCGGCGGAGCCGCGTCAGGGGAGGCGGCGGGGCCGCGTCAGGGAAGGCGGCGGGGCCGCGTCAAACAGGCGGCGGGGCCGCGTCAGGGGAGGCGGCGGAGCCGCGTCAGGGGAGGCGGCGGGGCCGCGTCAGGGGAGGCGGCGGGGCCGCGTCAAACAGGCGGCGGGGCCGCGATCAGGAGAGGTGGCGGGGCCGCGTCTGAGGGACAGCGGGGCCGCGAGGGAAAAGGCGACCCGAGGGGTCGCTAAAAAAAGGCGCGCCTCGGGGCGCGCTTCGGTGGGCCCTAAAAAACGGTCCTAAGGTAGGACCCGCTCTATACCATGTGAAACAAGGAAAACAGGAATGAAATGACTATGGAAGATTGGGTACAAATACAACCCTAGAGACCCTGTACCCCATATGTGCTACCCCACTATAGCCTACAGAAACTATGTCATATAAATCTGACATAGCGTTCACGAAATAGCAAGAGCAAGGGCCTAGCGTGTGCAAAATAAAAAGAACAAGGGTCTAGCATGTGCAAAATTGCAAGAACAAGGGCCTAGCGTGAGCAAAATAAAAAGAACAAGGGCATAGCGTGTGCAAGATAGCAAGAACAAGGGCCTAGCTTGTGCAAAATAAAAAGAACAAGGGCCTCGCGTGTGCAAAAGAAAAAGAAGAAGGGCCTAGCATGTGCAAAATTGCAAGAACAAGGGCCTAACATGTGCAAAATTGCAAGAACAAGGGGCTAACGAGTGCAAAATAGCAAGAGCAAGGGCCTAGCATGTGCAAGAAATCAAGAAAAAGGGCCTAGCGTTCGCGAAATAGCAAGAACAAGGGCCTAGCGTGTGCAAAATAGAAAGAACAAGGGGTTAGCATGTGCAAAATTGCAAGAACAAGGGCCTAGCGTGTGCAAAATAAAAAGAACAAGGGCATAGCGTGTGCAAAATAGCAAGAACAAGGGCCTAGCATGTGCAAAATATAAGAACAAGGGCCTAGCGTGTGCAAAATAATAAGAACAAGGGCCTAGCGTGTGCAAAATTGCAAGAACAAGGGCCTAGCGTATGCAAAATTGTAAGAACAAGGGCCTAGCGAGTGCAAAATAGCAAGAGCAAGGGCCTAGCGTGTGCAAAAAAACAAGAACAAGGGCATTGTGTTCGCGAAATAGCAAGAACAAGGGCCTAGCGTGTGCAAAATAAAAAGAACAAGGGCATAGCGTGTGCAAAATAGCAAGAACAAGGGCCTAGCGTGTGCAAAATAAAAAGAACAAGGGCCTAGCGTGTGCAAAATAGCAAGAACAAGGGCCTAGCGTGTGCAAAATTGCAAGAACAAGGGCCTAGCGTGTGCAAAATTGCAAGAACAGGGGCCTAGCGAGTGCAAAATAGCAAGAGCAAGGGCCTAGCGTGTGCAAAAAATCAAGAACAAGGGCCTAGCGTTCGCGAAATAGCAAGAGCAAGGGCCTAGCGTGTGCAAAATAAAAAGCACAAGGGTCTAGCATGTGCAAAATTGCAAGAACAAGGGCCTAGCGTGTGCAAAATAAAAAGAACAAGGGCATAGCGTGTGCAAAATAGCAAGAACAAGGGCCTAGCTTGTGCAACATAAAAAGAACAAGGGCATAGCGTGTGCAAGATAGCAAGAGCAAGGGCCTAGCGTGTGCAAAATTGAAAAAACAAGGGCCTAACATGTGCAAAATTGCAAGAACAAGGGCCTAGCAAGTGCAAAATAGTAAGAGCAAGGGCCTAGCGTGTGCAAAATTGCAAGAACAAGGGCCTAGCGAGTGCAAAATAGGAAGAGCAAGGGCCTAGCGTGCGCAAAAAATCAAGAACAAGGGCATAGCGTTCGCGAAATAGCAAGAGCAAGGGCCTAGCGTGTGCGAAATAAAAAGAACAAGGGCATAGCGTGTGCAAAATAGCAAGAGCAAGGGCCTAGCGTGTGCAAAACAAAAACAACAAGGGCATAGCGTGTGCAAAATAGCAAGAACAAGGGCCTAGCGTGTGCAAATTAAAAAGAACAAGGGCCTAGCGTGTGCAAAATCAAAACAACAAGGGTCTAGCATGTGCAAAATAGCAAGAGGAAGGGCCTAGCGTGTGCAAAATAGCAAGAACAAGGGCCTAGCGTGTGCAAAATAAAAAGAACAAGGGCCTAGCGTGTGCAAAATATCAAAAACAAGGGCCTAGCGTTCGCGAAATAGCAAGAACATGGGCCTAGCGTGTGCAAAATAAAAAGAACAAGGGTCTAGCATGTGCAAAATTGCAAGAACAAGGGCCTAGCGTGTGCAAAATAAAAAGAACAAGGGCATAGCGTGTGCAAAATAGCAAGAACAAGGGCCTAGCGTGTGCAAACTAAAAAGAACAAGGGCCTAGCGTGTGCAAAATAGCAAGAACAAGGGCCTAGCGTGTGCAAAATAAAAAGAACAAGGGCCTAGCGTGTGCAAAATTGCAAGAACAAGGGCCTAGCGAGTGCAAAATAGCAAGAGCAAGGGCATAGTGTGTGCGAAAAATCAAGAACAAAGGCATAGCGTTCGCGAAATAGCAAGAACAAGGGCCTAACATGTGCAAAATAAAAAGAACAAGGGTCTAGCATGTGCAAAATTGCAAGAACAAGGGCCTAGAGTGTGCAAAATAAAAAGAACAAGGGCATAGCGTGTGCAAAATAGCAAGAACAAGGGCCTAGCATGTGCAAAATACAAGAACAAGGGCCTAGCGTGTGCAAAATAAAAAGAACAAGGACCTAGCGTGTGCAAAATTGCAAGAACAAGGGCCTAGCGTGTGCAAAATTGCAAGAACAAGAGCCTAGCGAGTGCAAAATAGCAAGACCAAGGGCCTAGCGTATGCAAAAAATCAAGAACAAGGGCCTTGTGTTCGCGAAATAGGAAGAACAAGGGCCTAGCGTGTGCAAAATAAAAAGAACAAGGGCCTAGCGTGTGCAAAATAAAAAGAACAAGGGCCTAGCGTGTGCAAAATTGCAAGAACAAGGGCCTAACGAGTGCAAAATAGCAAGAACAAGGGCATAGCGTGTGCAAAATAGCAAGAACAAGGGCCTAGCGTGTGCAAAATAAAAAGATCAAGGGCCTAGCGTGTGCAAAATAAAAAGAACAAGGGCATAGCGTGCTCAAAATAGCAAGAACAAGGGCCTAGCATGTGCAAAATATAAGAACAAGGGCCTAGCGTGTGCAAAATAAAAAGAACAAGGGCATAGCGTGTGCAAAATTGCAAGAACAAGGGCCTAGCGTTTGAAAAATTGCAAGAACAAGGGCCTAGCGAGTGCAAAAAAGCAAGAGCAAGGGCCTAGCGTGTGCAAAGAAACAAGAACAAGGGCCTTCTGTTCGCGAAATAGCAAGAAAAAGGGCCTAGCGTGTGCAAAATAAGAGGAACAAGGGTCTAGCATGTGCAAAATTGCAAAAACAAGGGCCTAGCGAGTGCAAAATAAAAAGAACAAGGGCATAGCGTGTGCAAAATAAAAAAGAATAAGGGCCTAGCGTGTGCAAAATAAAAAGAACAAGGGCCTAGCGTGTGCAAAATTGCAAGAACAAGGGCCTACCGTGTGCAAAATTGCAAGAACAAGGGCCTAGCGAGTGCAAAATTGCAAGAGCAAGGGCCTAGCGTGTGCAAAAAATCAAGAACAAGAGCCTAGCGTTCGCGAAATAGCAAGAGCAAGGGCCTAGCATCTGCAAAAAAAATAAGAACAAGGGTCTAGCATGTGCAAAATTGCAAGAAGAAGGGCCTAGCGTGTGCAAAATAAAAAGAACAAGGGCATAGCGTGTGCAAGATAGCAAGAACAAGGGCCTAGCTTGTGCAAAATAAAAAGAACAAGGGCCTAGCGTGTGCAAAATAAAAAGAAGAAGGGCCTAGCGCATGCAAAATTGCAAGAACAAGGGCCTAGCGTGTGCAAAAATGCAAGAACAAGGGCCTAGCGAGTGCAAAATAGCAAGAGCAAGGGCCTAGCAGGGCCTAGCGTGTGCAAAAAAACAAGAACAAGGGCCTTGTGTTCGCGAAATAGCAAGAAAAAGGGCCTAGCGTGTGCAAAATAAAAAGAACAAGGGTCTAGCATGTGTAAAATTGCAAGAACAAGGACCTAGCATGTGCAAAATAAAAAGAACAGGGGCATAGCGTGTGCAAAATAAAAAGAACAAGGGCCTAGCGTGACCAAAAATCAAGAACAAGGGCATAGCGTTCGCGAAATAGCAAGAACAAGGGCCTAGCGTGTGCAAAATTGCAAGAACAAGGGCCTAGCGAGTGCAAAATAGCAAGAGCAAGGGCCTAGCGTGTGCAAAAAATCAAGAACAAGGGCCTAGCGTTCGCGAAATAGCAAGAACAAGGGCCTAGCTTGTGCAAAATAAAAAGAACAAGGGTCTAGCATGTGCAAAATTGCAAGAACAAGGGCCTAGCGTGTGCAAAATAAAAAGAACAAGGGCATAGCGTGTGCAAAATAGCAAGAACAAGGGCCTAGCATGTGCAAAATATAAGAACAAGGGCCTAGCGTGTGCAAAATTAAAAAAACAAGGGCCTAGCGTGTGCAAAATTGCAAGAACAAGGTCCTAACGTGTGCAAAATTGCAAGAACAAGGGCCTAGCGAGTGCAAAATAGCAAGAGCAAGGGCCTAGCGTGTGCAAAAAAAACAAGAACAAGGGCCTTGTGTTCGCGAAATAGCAAGAAAAAGGGCCTAGCCTGTGCAAAATAAAAAGAACAAGGGTCTAGCATGTGCAAAATTGCAAGAACAAGGGCCTAGCATGTGCAAAATAAAACGAACAGGGGCATAGCGTGTGCAAAATATAAAGAACAAGGGCCTAGCGTGTCCAAAAATCAAGAACAAGGGCATAGCGTTCGCGAAATAGCAAGAACAAGGGCCTAGCGTGTGCAAAATTGCAAGAACAAGGGCCTAGCGAGTGCAAAATAGCAAGAGCAAGGGCCTAGCGTGTGCAAAAAATCAAGAACAAGGGCCTAGCGTTCGCGAAATAGCAAGAACAAGGGCCTAGCTTGTGCAAAATAAAAAGAACAAGGGTCTAGCATGTGCAAAATTGCAAGAACAAGGGCCTAGCGTGTGCAAAATAAAAAGAACAAGGGCATAGCGTGTGCAAAATAGCAAGAACAAGGGCCTAGCATGTGCAAAATATAAGAACAAGGGCCTAGCGTGTGCAAAATTAAAAAAACAAGGGCCTAGCGTGTGCAAAATTGCAGGAACAAGGTCCTAACGTGTGCAAAATTGCAAGAACAAGGGCCTAGCGAGTGCAAAATAGCAAGAGCAAGGGCCTAGCATGTGCAAAAAAAAC